ATCCACAGGCCGCTTGCTTCCTCACATCCACCCCACCCATATTACAGCAGTTAGTGTTCCGAAATATTTCCCTGCTGATAAGCTTTTTATGGCTGCCTTCCCTACATTCATGTGTCAGGCCTTATTTCCAGATAGTAAATGTCCTGGTTATCCATTGCTGGGTGATAAACCCGCCTAGTTTAACAGCCCACAGCAAGAACAGTCCTAAGTCACAGCACAGCCTTCTCCACTCCCATGCGGCCATCTGCTGGGAAGCCTAGCTATGGCCTGGCCACGTGGCTGAGACCTCACAACAGAGCAGCTGGCTTCCAAGAAGCGATGTGAGCCGGAGGCTGAGGCTGACCCTTGCTAACCCAGCTCTGAGGGTCGTGTGCTATCACTGAGCAATGTCTGTGTTGTTTTCCATTTCTGACAATTATGAATATAGCTTTTATATGTGTGAACATTTAAATTTGTATCTAAATATAACTTATTTCTCTTGGGTGATGACCTAGGGATAGGATGATTGGATCACCCAACTCGTGCATGGTATATGTAGTGGCAAACGAGCAAACTACCTTCTGGGGTACAGTGAATGTGCCCTTTAGTGTTTTCATCAGCAACTCTGAACATTCCCCTTGCCCTCTGTCTTTGTTAGCAATTGCAGGCTTGGTGTATGTAGGTATGTATGTACATATGTGTGTATGTATGTATGTATGTATTAATGTATTTGGTACAGGGTCTACAAGCCTACACAGATCAGACTTGTAGTGATCCTCCTGTTTTCATCCTTCCAAGTGCTGGAATTACAGGCACGTGCCACCATGACCAGTCTAAGTCGCCCTCTCAGGGTGCCCCAGGGTGGGGCCAGTACGGCCTACCAGGATCGAACCCCGGTGCCTGTGCCTGCCTAAGAAGGCGCTTTAGTCCACTGAAGTATCCTGCCAGCCCTTCTAGGCTTGGTGTTTTTAACCTACTGGTTTTTTAATTGTATCTGCTCCATACGTGAGTGGTGGCATTTTAGTTTGGCTTTAAATCGGTTTTCCCCAGTGGCTAATTAAGTACCTTTTCATGTGTTTTTTTTTTTTTGTTGTTGTTTTGTATACATTGTCCATGTTTTCTCGAAAGTAAGTCCTAACTGGAAAACAATCAGCTTTGAAAACTAGAGATCAAAGCTGCCGCCTCCAGGAGCTGGTCTTACTTACCTCGCCTGCCTGTCCTTACCTTACCCGCTTTACAGAGCAGCCAGGGAGCAAGAAACAGCGAGGGCAGTGAGGAAGGACAGGCTGCCTGGGGCTGGCAGTTTTGATTCCTAGTTTGCAAAGTTGGGGCTGCGGGTTTGGCTCAGTGGTAGAATGCTTGCCTAGCAAGCAGGAAGCCCTGGGTTCAGTCCTTGGCACCAAAAACAAAAAATCAAAAGCTGGTTGTTTTCATTAGGTTTCATTTTCAGGGGACAGTGTTATTTGGTAAAGTGCCTGTTTGATCTTCTGCCCATTGAACATTAGGGTGTTTTTTTTCTTGCTCAGTGTTGACAGCTGTCGATACTTTTGGATGCAAATCTTTTTGACAGAAATAAGATTTATGAATAGTTTCTCTTGGCATTTGTCTTACTGTCTGTTAGCCACTTGGGCAGAGCACAAGCTTTTGATTTTGCTGTAGTCTGATTTATCTGGATTTTTCCATTTATGGTTATGCTTTTGGTGTCAGGTCCACACTGTTACACCAAATCAGACCTTGCTCCGCTGCCAGTTTCTTCCGCCTAGAAGGTGTGTTTCCTCTCCCTCCCTCCCCTCCACGGCCTAGGGCCTTCCTGTAAGAGTCCTTCCCTGAGGACTTTGTGTTTTGAACAGCACCCGTTCTGTGCACTCGCAGCACCTTGCTCCCTGTGTTCCGCAGGACTCCTTTTGCTCTGCCCTGGCTGCTTTTCCCTCCTGAATCTCCTGTTGGGCTGTGCCAGGCCATCAGTGCCAGAGGCAGGGACATGCCCCGTGTCTAATAAAGCATCAGGCCCAGCGATCTGTGCACATAGCTCAGCACTTGTCGGATGCGTGAAGGGCAGGACCTGCTGGGCACTGTCAGGCTCCCACGCCTTCCTCCGCATGGCCCCTAATCACCTGAAATAGTCCCCATTTTTCTGCCCACGTGGGCCAAGTCTCTCTGACAAGCCTGTGATCCCTTCCCTCTCTGCCCAGGCTGCGTCCTGAGAGCACCTTCGGCACAGCCCTGCCCACTCTCCAGGTTCCTGTGGTGGAAAAAGTAGAACTACTCTGATCACATCAGAACTTGGTACCCCAGCCTTGTGCTTATGTGACTGCAACAGTTAGGCAACTGTCCTTGTAACATTTCCTTCTTCACTCCTTTTTTTTTTTTTTAAACGTATTTGGTACAGGGTCTGCAGTCTCACTATATAGATCAGACTTGTAGTGATCCTCCTGTTTTCAGCCTCCCAAGCGCTGGGATTACAGGTGTGTGCCACCACGCCCAGTCTCAATCACTATCTCAGTGTGCCACGGGGGCAGGGCTGGCAGGGCACGCTGGGGATTGAACACAGGCCTCTGTGCTCTGCCTAAGCAGGCTCTTTAATCCACTGAGCTATCTGGCCGGCCCTTCTTCACTTCTAAAAGACACAGGCAGTATTTGGGAGCATGTATAGCTGTCATTTTATAACTGCATCACACAAATGTACACTGAAGTGTATTTTTAAAAATACACTTTAAAAATGTGTGTATTTTAAAAACTTAGTACTCTCCTGTGAACATTTCCGGTGTTACTAAGGGTTCCTTCTACCTGTCATTGCACCAAGATACTTCTTTTAGGAGTTTGGCAGATGGGCTGTGGAAGTGAAGTTTTCACCTACTGTGTTCACGCAAGCTTGATTGTATTAATGATGTGCACAGTTTCGTCTGTGACAAAATGCAGTTGTACTTCGGATAGACCAGCTGACAGAGCAGCTTACACCCTGATGAGGTTCTGCAGTCTGGTCACTCCCTGACTGAATCTTTAAGGAGACAGGGAAGACCGCTTTGCCGTTGGTCTTCATGTTCAGGGCGTGGGAGAGTGGCATGGGCAGGCCTCTGTCATAAAGCAGCACTACTTCATGTAGCTATGAAGCCGCACCCTGTCATTGGGCCACAGCGAGCGATGCACAGACTTGTCCTGGACTCAGAGCACGGGCCAGCGAAAGGGCACAGACAGAGGGGAGGTCATCAGACAGCTGTACAAAGAGTTGTGTTCTCCTTTTAAATCTAAAGCTTTTGAAGATTTGTAAGTAGCAGTAATAAAAAGATGTGTAAGTCGACACCCAGGCATGTGGAGACGTGCCAGTAACTACACATTCCTTCTGGGGTAAGCTCTTGTTTCCCCTTTCCAAAGGGTGTCTGAGGGAAGCGCTGTCAGGTCAGGGTCTGGCCAGGACTGACCTCTGATCCTTGGCCCAGTGTTGCTTCATCTCCGAAGGGTTTCGTTGCAGTGCCTCCAGGGGCTGTTTTGAGATTTAAATGGATAATATAGGAGCAAAATATGGGGTCCTAGTAACCTGAAGTTGCCAGATAATACTAGCACTCAGCTCCCTTTCTCCCTCTGGCTCTCGTTTCTGTTTCAGTAACAATTTGAGTATTTGCCGTATCCCATGCACAGGGCACAAATGCAGTACAGCTTCATTGAAGCTTAGAACTGAATAGAGGCTTGGTTTGCAGAGGATCTGCAGAGTGAGGTGATGGGATGGGTGCTTAGGCAGCAAACCATGGCATGAGGCAGAGGGAACTAAGTGCTACGTAGAGATGCCAGTGCGGGCTGTGGTGGCCAAGAAGGCTATAGAATGGAGGACACGTGACACAAGCCTTGAAGGATACACAGATTTTTATAAATGAGCAGAGGAGTTCAGAGCAGTTGTGATGGTGAAATTGTATGGCCTGTTGGATGAGTCAGGAGTTATGGGCCTTCTGTCCTGAGGGCTGTATGTTGAGGGGGCTGGGGCTGGAAGGTGGAGTGGGGGCCTATTTCTCAGGTGTGCGGCTTTGCCTTACAGCTTAGGAACTCATAGGAAGCACCATGCAAAATTATACCTGGGCCCTGTCTTTGGTGTGGTCACTGCTGTGTACTGTACACACTGCCAAATGGTTGTAGGATGTTTGCTGAGCACCGCCAACCCATGTGGTGCTGCTTCCTGTAAGGGTAGGCAGGCCGAGGAGATAACTCAGTGGTCTAAGCACCTGCCTGGCAAGGGCAGGGTCTGATATTCGATTCCCAGTCCTGCATGCCATGCTGGTCCCAGACCCCCAGGTGTGCTAACCTGGCCCTGACACTGGGTGTGGTCGCACACACCTGTCATCCCAGCGCTGGTGAGGCTGAGACAGAAGGATCACTGTGAGTCCAAGCTGTGTGGCGAGACCTGTACCAACAAAAATATAGAAAGGAAAGGAGGGGGAGGGAGGGAGGGAGGGAGGGAGGGGGAGAGAGAGAGAGAGAAAGAGAGAGAGAAAGAGAGAGAGAGAGGAAGGAAGGAAAGGAGGGAAGGAGGGAGGAAGGGAGAGAGGGAGGATCTCAGAATGAGGTAGAGGAAGGAGCAATCCTACCTGATTCCTAGGTTGCAACCTGTCAGGGCAGACACTGTGTTTTTTTGTATGAATTGTTTCTCCCAGAGGATAGACAAGGTTCTTGATGGTTAAAAAAAATTATGAGAGAGCGGTGTAAAAGAATAACTCAGAATTAGACTTAGGAGTTATCTCAGAACCAGGTTGTCCTCAGAATTAATGATGCTGCCAATTTCTTTTCCTTTGGAAGTAGGAAGCAGAGTTCCTAGAGGTAATTTACTTCAATTTTGAGTAATTTTGTTTCTATCTTACAGAAAATATGTCACAGAATTTAATTATCGTCTGGTGGTCAAAATAATTTGGTTCGAATGTTGTGTTTTGGGACTAATAAGAGTTTTCAGCTAAAGCTGGGTGGATGGGTTCCAAGTACAGTGGTGGTGAGACTGTCGTGTAAGGGCGTGTTGACTTACTTGCTCTCTTTGCTTCTAGGGACCTAATACCTATCATTGCTGCATTGGAATATAATCAGTGGTTCACAAAGTTGTCCTCCAAGGATCTGAAACTGGTAAGTAATTGAAGATGCGGTAAACGGTGCTTGTCTTTGCAGAATTTAAAAAAAAAAATCCTGATAATTATTTAATAAAAATGTTTTCCTTCCAGACTTTTGAGCTGCATACATTTTACTTCATGGGGAGATGTTTGCTTATAGGTGATTTGTGTAACATTTTATAAAATTTACCATGTGAGAGGTTTCAGAGTACTTCATATTTTCAGTGCTGTAGGCAGTTTGGAAGATGCAGAGAGCGACACGTCTAGTCAGCCTGGAGCGCACGCCATTCAGTGGGCCAAAACTGTTGATGTCACATTAGCACAGTCACCAACTGCAGAGGTGACGCTCCTTCTCTGCATTTCATTCTCGCAGTGTCTTCCTTCCTAAGAATTTCAGGAAATATTGACGGGTAGAGTTGGACTAGGAGACTTAGGATAGATAATACTAGTTTTGTAATTGTGTTTTTGAGGCAGACTTCTTCATCAGCAAAATGAAAGTGAAGTGACATCTGTCCGTTTTCATAAGTGGTGGGGCTACCAAATATTTGGTCTGTTTTGCTAGTGGAAATACGTACTGTATTGGGGATTTGGCAAGTTCCAAAGAAGCCACGTGGACAGATGTTTATTCCCAAGTTAGCTTTTTGATACTCCTTTTAAGACAGGAGATAATTTAGTGATTGCTTTTGTGGAGACTCTTACTTTGAAGCGTTAAGCATTCATAGGTGTGCGAATTTGGGAGAGCTAAGGTTTTTGTAATGAGAGATAGGATTTGGATTGAAACATGAAACTGGAGAAGTGGAGGGTGGAACCTGGCTAGGAAGCAGGCTGCTGCATTCTCTGAATTTGTCAGGGCTGTGGGTGACTGAACAGATTATAGGTATGAAAAAACATGGGCTGACTTCACTGGTGACCTCTTGGGAACCAGTATAATACAGAAAAGAAGTGGGCTAGGTATCAGAAACCCAAGTTTCAGATTTTAACTCTAATTACCAGCAGACTGTGTGATCGTCAATATATTCCCTGACTTTGGGCTTCTGCTTCCCGCATGCCTGTTATTGTGGCATAGTTAGGGCTCCTGTCTTACTGTCTGTCCTGTGCTCTTTTGAAGTGGCTTAGCATAGCTTCATCAGAGTACAAATACTTGATAAAAATTGGTTTACTAAATAGATACAGAATTAGTGGATGAGTGAACAAAGCAATATAATTTGCAGGTTGCCGGGACGAGTACATGGTGTGTGTGGAAATTGCACCACCGTCCCTGATGTGTTGCACACATTTCCAAATGCGTGGCTGTTGCTGTCTTCCTCATCCCAGTCAGACCAGCAAAGAGGCCAGGAATCAAGCCTGTATGCAGTGGGAAGCTGGGAATCCCATCAGCCAGACAGCTGGCAGTGTTGGAGCAGAGCTGGTGGAGGAGCCTCCGGGGTTAGGCAGGTAGAGGAAGGGAAAGAGGACAGAACCTGGCATGCTTACTGCTTGCCAGAACGGGATCCTTGCAGGGCTTAGCCCACAGCGGTTGGAGGAGAAGAGGGTGGACTGGGCAAGGGAGAAGATGATGGGCCCGATTGTGCGATCAAGGAGAAAATGCGTCTCTGCCGTGTCTGTTTTTGTGGCACGTTCACTCACATGACCTTGTGATTTATGAAATAGAGTCCTGTGCCAGTACCAAGGAGGCTGTAGATACTCTGCCTCTGGAGATTGTCCCCAACCCCTGTAGCGTGGAGAGGGCTCCTGAGAGTTGCTGGTGTTGGCCTTCTGTCGTTATTCCCACTGGACCTCTCCCATCCTCTGCCTTCGTATTTAAACAAAAAACGTGCACCTGATCATTTTTATTAGTATGAAACAAAGCCCTGAAGTATGTGTGTGCCTTTGGGTGCCTTGGGATGGGATGGGAGGAAGCAGAGGGAATAAGGAGGGCTGCCCTTTCTTAACTGCCTTTCACTTAATTGAGATGGCTTGATTGGTTGATTTGGTACAGGGTCTTATACGCAGCTCAGAGTCCTAGTGATCCTCCTGTCTCAGCCTCCCCAGCGCTAGGATTACAGACATGTACCACCACACCAGGTTTTGGTGGCCAGCATGGTTCACCCTAGGTTCCGGAGCCAGCTTGGCATGTGGCACCAGAGATTGAAGCCAGGTCCTTCCACTTGTCAGGCAGGCACTTACATTGCCAAGCTATCTCTCCAGCCTTAACTGAGATTTAAGCAACAACATCAAATAGATGTATATACTCTTAACATTTGATATTTTATAATACAAAGTGGCCTCAGTGGCTGTTACTCTACAAATCTTCAAAAGAAAAGTGATTTAATGAGGGGTTTTTTTGGCCTGAAGTTAGGGGATAAATGAGTGGTTCTTCTCTGATGGCCCTGCAGTTGGCAGTCTGGAGCACTTTCAAACCTTAATTTATTTGAAAGAAAGGACAACTTATATAAGAACACATTGTTTGGAGATTTTTAAAACATCAACCTCCTGATTACAATAAATGATTTCCTTTCAAGTCATAAGACCTCTCCAAATCATGAAGACCATTCTTAGCCCAGTAAAAGCCTCCTATGTCAAGTTACCACAAGAAAATTTCGACTTTTATGATTTATGCTGGTTTTATGAAGCAAACTGGCAGTCACTCATTCTAGTTTTGAATAGAAGATTAAAAACAAAAAAAGAAGTGATTAGGATCATGTTTCTGTCCAACATTCTTTCTAGGGGGTTTGTTTCTGTTTCCTCTGTGCTGAGGCTTACCCAGGAACGTGGTAGGCAAGCGCCGTGCCACTGCACGGCTGCTCAGCTCCCCTCACTGTATTCCGAGGCGGGATCTTGCGTGTTGCCAGGCTGTCCTTGCATTAGCGGTCTTCTGCCTCAGCCTCACGCATAGTTGCGACTATAGCTGTAGTGCTTGGCTGCCCAGCAGTCTTAACGCATCGAAATATTATAGCAGTAGAATTGGGATGTTCCTTACCTTTTTCAGTTTTATTGCTTGGCTAAGTCAGTTGGTATCATTGTGTCTTTAAAAAAATAATGTGGGGCTGGTGAGATGGCTCAGTAGTCTAAAGCACTTATTTAGAACAAGCTTAGCAAAGCACAGGGACCACGGTTCAATCCCCCAGCACCACATGCCAGCCAGCCCCGCCCCCTGGTGGGCTGAGCTGGCCACACACACACACATAAATAAATAAATTAATTAATTAAAAAAAACTGTATGGCATATGGAATTTATGAAAAAAAAAATAATGTGGTTGTACAGGAAATGCATGTAGCTCCATTTTTGTTTTAAGTTCCTTATTTCATTTTGTATCATTTTATATGTTACTTTATACTAATTCCAGTTTTTGTTGTATGCATTTGATGTACTTGATCTTTTCCTTTTTTGGGGGGGTTCCAGGAGTAAATTTACAGCCTTTGCACTGAACTACATCTGCAGTTCTTTTAATTCTGATAATTCTTTTAATTCTCTAATTTTTTCAATTCTGAGACAGAATGTTGCTAAGTTGCTGAATGGCCCATGTTGTGCTTGAACCTGTGAACTTCCTGCCTCAGCCTTCTAGATGGCTGAGCTTGCAGTTGTGTGCCATTGCGCCCTGCTTGCATTTGATTTTTAACTAAACATGAGTTCTTAGTGGGGCATGGCATTCAGCTTTTTAAAGTAAAAATTTTTAAATTGTTGCTGATCATGCTGTAGACAGTTGGAAAGAGCTGTTACCTTACTTTATTATGGCTCTAGGTTTGTATGTGTAGCTCTTTTAAAAGTCATTTCTATATAATCTTTAATGTAGAAAATAATTCTTTACATATAATTGACACTTAATACAAGTTAGCTGCATAAATAGAATCTGGAATGACTTGTTATGCCTCTTCCCTACTGACTTCTTAAAGAAAACTTGGACACACTTTAATACACTTTCTTTAATAAATTTTAATTGCAATATTTATACCCAGTATGTACCCTAAATCTTCAAAGCAATACTTTGGTAAATTATTTCTCTGGATTCCAAAGGTAATGAATGACATTATGAATTGCTTCTGAAACTTAGAATAATCCCTCCAAAAACATTCTCGAAGTAATCACATTTTCCCATGACAACACAGAGTAACATTGGGCCCCTTAGATGTAATTGTCAAAGAACTGCACTGATGAGGGGTTACTGTTGGGAAGATCACCCCTGTCAGCATAATGCAAATTGCAGGCATCAGGTCAGTTGGAATTAATTTTTCTCTTCCTTCTCAGTCTATTGGGATACATTAGGAGCCCTGGAGTAGCTGGAAAGTGGCACCAGGGACTGAGCAGAATCAAATGGCACAAAAGAATTATGAGAGCCGTGGATGCTCTGGGGCTCAGGCAATCCAGATTGGGGATTGAAAGGGTGCTTGACTCAGACTCTCTTCCCATTATGGTTGGTCCAGCAGGGTATTTGTGATCTGATACTGAAAGAATTGTCACATTTTCGTATGTGACAGCTCATATATTTTAAGTTCACAGTACTTTAAGAAAAAAAGTATCCCATGACACAATGTATGTTTTCTTTTATTTATAGCATAAAGGATTTAAGTAGATCCTAAGTTATAATGAGATTTTATAACACCATTTTATAATTAAACAATATAAGGTCAAGAGCTACCTTAATTTAGTTTTACAATAAAGCAGAATATAAATATAAAAGCACTGACGTATGGCAACCCTTAAGGAAAATATCGGGTACAGTTCTACTACCATGGGGCAGTGTTTTAGTTTTCTTAGTCCTCTTAAGACTTTTGTTACCTAGCTGGGGTATGGTGGCACATGCCTATAATCCTAGCGTTTGGGAGGCTGAGGCAGGAGGATTGCTGTGAGTTTGAGGCCATTCTGGACTAACAGTGGGTTCAAGGCCAGTTTGAAGTATATAGTGAGATCCTGTTTCTAAAAAAAAAAAAAAGATTTTGTTACTCATTTCACTTGTTGTAATGTTTCATTCTAATTAAACATTTTATTTAGCGTTATATTCTAACTATTTAAAGTATTTCCAGAGTTCTTTAACTACATAATATTCTTTATTTTTTTCCATAATTTTATTGAGAAACAAATAGCAGTGAGACAGTTTCAAGCCAAATTGGTAGGACAGTTTCAATAATTAACACACTGCATACATTCTTCCTAGTGGTTAATTGCTGTACACGATGCGGACATGATATCCTATTTACAAACACCATTAGAACAAATCCCTCTATTCATTAAGAGAATGTAACTATATATCTATCCTAACCATTTTGAATACACAGATACAAAATGGACATTCATCTGTATCCCCTTTTTTTGGTTAAGTTCTGTTATTTGAATATTATAGATGTGTTAACTCAGTACAATATTCTAAAAGAGTCCAGTAGTCCATAATAGTATTGGGTCTTCTACTTCACTGACAATGTCAGAAATTGTTGACCTGAGACCCTTACAGCTCAACATAACAGCATGGCTTTACTTCTTATACTTTGTTTTTATACTTTTCTGCTGGATGGTTAAGACCAAGGTAAAGCAGGACCTATGCAACAAGAGTTGTAGCTTTTGGGTCTGATAAGGTCAGTGAAATCCCCTCAGGATTTATCCTGAGATCCTGTATCTCAGATTGTAGAACCTTTGTCAGTGTCAGCCATGTGGATGAGTCACGGCCATTGCTTGGCCAGTGTGCTCTCTGTGAAAGCCTGAGAGAATGTTTTCTCTCCATGTGACTCTCCTTAGGCACACTCTATATCATTGTTCACTTTCCTCTTTGGCCCCTTAATCTCCTTGATCAGAAAATGTGGGATACTACCGAGTTACATGACATTACAGTACAAGATCTCGTATGTCCTGAGTCTTAATTGACCTTGGAAGGCTAGGGCCAAAATGTTGGCTTTCCTTGTGGCCCTCTTTTTTCCTCTAATTTTGGTCTGCAAACTTAGGTTGTTAACCCCTCCAGATATAATATTCCTTAAAGTATAGGATTTTTTTTTTTTTTGGTGGTACCAGGGATTGAACTCAGGACCCTGTGCTTGCCAAGCAAGCACTTATTCTACTGAGCTATCTCTCTGGCCCTAAAGTATAGGTATTAACATAGATGTTTAACTCTTTGCCACCATCAGGGTGTGTCCCCCTTTGTTCTGGTTAGCAAATACTGGAAGGAGCCCCATGATACCAGTCCCCATTTATCAAGTGCTATTTAGTCTCTCTATAGAAGTATGTGACATTTTATACCTTTTTTTTTCTTATCTGTATAAAGAATATAATCATAACCTTGTATTAGTGATCCCAGTGAAATACGTGGTCTAGCTCAGTGGCGGGACTCTGAAGACACTGGTAGTATTGTCACCATCACCACCACCATTTCATCCTCAGCTCTCCATGGGCACTGCACCTTCCTTGCACCCGTCTTTGATTTTTCCAAGATGAGTGAGATGGGCATCTGTTTTCTCCTAGCGCTAATGAAATGACTTTTCTGTGATTTTGTTATTATTATGAATTTTCTGTATCAGTCCATTTGTATTTCTTATATCAAGATACTGTACGTTGTGTAGCTTATAAGCAGCAGAAGTTTCTCATCATTGTGGAGTCTGGGAAGCCCATAATTAAGAGGTGGGCAAGTTCTGTGTCGGTGGACTCACTTTCTAGTTTGTCCGGGGTGCCTTCAGGCCCTGTGTTGATGTGGTTGGAGAGCCCCTGAGCTTTCTGAAACCTCTTTCTATCAGGGCAGTAATCTCATTCATGGGGACTGCGCCTCTAGGGTGCAGTCAGCTCCCAAGGACCCATCACATTGTTTATTAGGCTTTCAACATAGGAATTTTGGGGTGCAGGGGCACAAAAGCTGAGACCATAATGTTCCTGTTGTTTCTTTTTCCTGCTGGATGGTGCACTCTGGAAACCAAGCAGCTTGTGCTCTGTGTCACTGTAGGCCCAGGGTCTTCTTGGTGATGGTGCAGAGCAGTCGATGCTCTCAGTAAGTACTGAATGAATGAATATATGGATGAATGTTGAAATCAAAGTTGCATCACATAGAGCCATAAGAGTGAAGTGAGCTTTTTCATTATTATAGTTATGGAATCGCCAACGAATGTTTTCTGTTACAGTCCACGGATGTCTGTGAACAGATCTTGAGGGTGGTGAATAGGTCCAATCGACTGGAAGAATTGGTGTTGGAAAATGCTGGACTTAGAACGTGAGTGTTGTCTTAAATATATGACCGTGTTCTTTTCAGAGTTTACACCATCTACTCTTATGCACAGTTCTGTAGAAAAGATTCAGATTCTTATGCATAGAAGATAGTGGTTTCCCCTCTGGGAAAAAATATCCCCGTGTACCATGGTAATCACAAAGGTCAAGGTTCTGATGACACTTTCAGTAACTGTTGCACGATGCTTTTGAGTGTATATTAGTGTAGTACACTGGCCTTGGGTAAGGTTTTTAGACTCACCATATCTCAGGTCCTTATTTTTATTTTTTTATATCTTTGTCTTCATTTATGTATTTGGTACAGGGTCTCACTACACAGCTCGGATGCGTAGTGATCCTCTTGTTTTGAGCCTCCCCAGTGCTGGGATTACAGGCATGCAGCACCACGCCTGGACTCAGTGTACCCAGGGGCCGGGGCCGGCACAGCATGGGGTACTGGGGATCAAACCTTGGTCCCTGCATTTGCCAAAGCAGGTGCTTAGTCCGCTGAGCTATCTTGCCAGCCCTCAGGTCCTTGTTTTTAAAATGAGTATAATGATAGTGTTTATAGAATTAAAGTTGTGAATATAGATGAATTCATATCTGAATAGTACTTAGAATAGTGCTTTCCCCTGTGTGGTTTGCACAAAGATTTTTTTTTTTATCGTGTAGTTGACTTTACTGCTTTGTTTTGATCAATTTTATCATTTCTCTCCCTTCTTAAGTGAACACTGATATAGTCTTTATCTAGTGGCTTATTCATTAGATAAACTGTTGACTACCAGCCTTTGCTTTTAAGAGCACGGGTTAGAATCTGTTAGAACAAAGGCTTTTCAGCTGCTAAGTGATGAGGATTGGGGTTTTGTGATCCTAGCATGTATCCATTATTTTGGGTTAAAGAGAGCTAAAGTAGTGGGTTTTTTTTTTTTTTTTTTTAAAGAATAAAATGTACTAGCAATTGTAACACCTAACTCAGTAATTAGAGTAATCAGTTTTACATTCATTAGTGTTCTGTTCCATGAAATAAGAGCAGAGATACACAGTAGCCTTCTAGGTATTTTCGTGAAAAGCAGACTCAATCTAGGATTTGTGTTAATTTTTGGTAAATTGTAGAGGGGTCAAGTAATACCTTTAATAGCATTCAGCAATGTGTCTTTAAAGAGGAAATTATATATTTTCTATCTGCATTTCAATGAGGTTTTTGCAAATTGAAATGAACCATTATCTAGCTATGGCTTTCTTAATTTTCAAAGTATTAATGCACATTAGCATAAAACGTAATACATAGATTCATATCCTAAAGGAGGGTTCTGATTTTTTAGATTTCACTGTGTTAATCTTTCAGTGTTTTATTTGAACAGTTTTACATTGTGTGTACTTGCTCTTTCTTTACTTGCAGAGATTTTGCACAAAAACTGGCCTTCGCTCTGTCGCATAATCCCAACTCAGGACTCCACACAATCAACCTTGCCGGCAATCCGCTGGAAGACAGAGGTAGCACCACGTGCCATCAATACCCCAGTCCTGGGAGTCCTAGAGAGCTTTAACTTCGCCCTGGTGGAGGGTGATAATGAGCTTGATTTAATTATGTTATACATGCTGTCGGTACATTTCTGCTTGTTGTTCTTTCTGCCCTTTCATGAAAATACTCAAACTAATGTTCTTATTATCTAATGAGCTGTCTTGGGAGTGACAACAGAACAAAAAGGAGGATATTTGCACTATGTATCAATAGAAGGAAGAGTTGGTGGGTTTCAGAAGAGGAACTTGAGACTGAATTCTCAGTAGTGGGACATTTATGGATAGAGTTAAAGCTGGAATCTTGTATCTCTGGAGGGAATGTTTTGTTTTCATTTTCTCTTGCGAGTGTTTTCCAGTTTTCTTGACTAGGGCCTTTTTTGTTTCAGTGTTATATATTTGATGAAGATTAATTATTCAGTGGAGCGGAGGATACTGATATATAGACAGTTTTGCTTTTTTGTTATTGATACAATACATTGTTCTGCATTGAAAAGATACCCATGTAGTATTCAAACCAAATCCTCAGGGTGACTTCTGCCATCTACAGAAGTGAATCTGAGGCTGAAATTAGGCAAGGAGATCATGTGAAAAACACCCTCAGAGAGAAGGGTGCTGCTCAAAATAACGGTGCGTAATACCGGGATAGGATACAATAATTCCGTTAGGAGAAATCACTGCTTTTTCTGTTAGTCAAATGCTATGGAAAGGCGCGTGGGGCAGAGCAGGGATCATCCAGGTCACCACAGCATCATTCAGGGAAGCTCTTTCGGCTTTGTTATTAAGGTGGGAGGGAACCAGCTAGTTTATGACCTGATGTGTCAGTGTTACTAGAGTGGGGGCTATTGCTGGAGGTGAGTCGGGAGTGAGCGGAGTGCGGATGCCAAAGGGGTGCGCCTCAGTCATTTGAGAAATGCTCACAGAGCCACAGTGAGGCACCTTTGACAGCCAGAAGCGGCTCTCTGGAGAATAAGCAGAGGGCATGAAGAAGCAGGAACCCACACACACTGCGAACTGCCTAGGCAGTTTCTTACAATGTTAAATGCAAAGTTACCCAGAGCCCCAGCAGTTCCACTCCCAGGTGTCGCCCAAGAGAAATGAGACATATGTGCACACAAAAGCTAGTAAATACCTCAAGGCCTGAAAGTAGACACAGTCCCCATGTCCCTGTCCAGTGAGAAGATGAGGAACATGTGGCTTATTTGTCCCATGGACCCTGCTCAGCAGTAGAAGGGAGTGAAAGTCTGACACTTGCTGCGACATGGATGAACCTAAGAAACACGAAGTGGAAGGAGACCTGAGAAACTTTGGGGCGTCTGCCTCAGTGGCTCTGTGAGGGGAAGGATGTGGCCGAGACTTCCTCACTTGCCCTCTTCTGCGCCCATGTGTTGGGAGGTGCCGCTGCCCTGGACATCTTGGCACCCCAGCATTGCTTTCTTCGGCAAGGCCCTCTCCCTGATGCCCTGTGACCCTTTGACTTGTGCTTCTATTTCAGCTCTTCGTCGTCCCTGAGCGGGCATTTCCCACTCCTCCACCTCCTGTTTCCCTCATCCCCACAGCCCACCCCTCCCCACCCCCGCCCCGAGACATGCAGTATCTAGGGTAAGACCCTGTTCATAATCAGTAAATATCTTTCTCATTCTGTTTTGCTCTTTTCCGAGTTGTCCATGAAGGTCATGATGAAGCGTATGGGACTTCTTTTGTATCAGCTGTGAATGAGTTCACAGGTGTTGTTGCTCTGCCTCCTCCCTCCACTTTCTTACCTCCCAGACTCAGTTCTGTATGTCCTGCCATCTACCTGCTGCCTGCTCACTGATAACGTTGCAGTCAAGAGTCCCTCCAAGCTCAGCCTTGACTGTGTGTGCCAACCCTCCAGTGTGGTTTCTGCTCATGTGCCCACAAGTCCTAGTGCCCCTCAAAGTGTCTCCACAGACCAAGGCCTCCCTGTCTCTGCCCCTTCTAGGCCCCTTTGGTGGCGCTCGCCAGAGCTCTTGGGGGGCTCCCAGCATTCATTTGTCCTCCCTACCTTCACTCACAGAACTGGGCATCTGCCACACAAATCCTTTACTGCTTTTTTTTCAGGCTGATTATCTAAAGATGGTTGGTAGCTTTGGTACCCATGGGTGGAAAGTCCAAAAGCATTGTGAATAATAAAAAATGAATATGTAAAATGTTTATTGAAATTTCAACTTAGAGGGGGAAAAAACCCAGTAATTTTCATCACTGAGCTTTTTCCGTGCTGATACTAATCCTTGAAAGCAGTAAAAAGAATGGGGAAGGTGCCTGTAATTTGTTTGTGTAGTAGATAAACGATGTCAGGCCAGTGAAGATAATTTACAAGGAAACTCAGAGAAATGCAGGGCACGCAAAAGCTTAGTAGGGAGCAGCCCGGGGATCTGAGGAATTTACACACCAACTAGAATTTAATTTTGGACCTAAACTTTCCTCCCAGGGACTCATTTGGAAACCCTTAAAGTTTGGTTCCTGAGCTTGTGATAAGAGTATTGATACAGCAAATCCCTGTTCTTTACAGCTTGTCCTCCTTGATGTATGTGTCTAAAGGACAGGCCTGCAGCCTCCGGATAGTGGTGCAGGAGGTGAGAGTGCGATTCAGTGGGTAGATGTGCAGCGCACATGCAGGGAAGCAAATGAACGCAGAGCCGTGACTAGACGCACATGGGCACGCACGCTGCTCCTAGGCTGGCTGCAGAGCAGGGTCTGTCGGCCACTCTTGGTCTTCCTCTAACCTGTGGGTTTGTTTTTTAGGCAGTAGACTAAGACTTAGTAGGAAGCAATGAAACCTTTTTAATAGTTCATGCCAAACATTTTTAAAATGAAATGAATTTCATTTTAAAAGAGAGATGAATGAAAAAATACCAGAGTGCTTTAGAGAAATTTTAGTTTTAGCTTTCCAATATGTACATATTATTTTTGTATGAGTTTTCTTGCTTTGTGCTGTAAGATCTATTTATTTATGTTGATTGTAGTAGGAAAGGCTTGCGAGCCCCTGCTGTTATTCACGGAACTGGATTAATGGGCTCTGTGGTGGTGAGTCCTCTGGACAGACAGGGCAGACAGGGCGACTGGGCCAGGGTACTTTTGGTCATCTTCGTGAGCCTGGCTCTTTGGATCTGATGTTGATTCTTGGGTTGCAGTTAAGTATTTCGTGGGAACTTGATACACCCCTCTCCTGCCTCTGCTCTTTCCTTGTAACTTTCCTTTTCCACAGTAGACTCCGTGCTCAGTTTTCATACTTATCCTTGCCAGGAGCACTAGTTTACATGACCTCTGGCTTGTCCAGAGTGTCTGTCCTTATTTCCTGCCCTCACTTTATTCCAAATTGCATTATCCTGTTTAATGAATGCTTCAGAATTGTCTCAATTGTCCACTTGACCAGATTAATCCTTTTGTGCCTGGTGTTCCATTTTTGGCCATAACAATGGAACAAAATAGAAATGTTTTTCTCTTCAAAGTCTTGTTCCTAGGGACCGGGAAGATGGCTCAGTGGAATAAGCACTTTCCTGGCAAGCCCAAGGGCCTGAGTTCAATGCCTGGTTCCTCAAAAAACAACAACAAAATAAAACCAAAGTCTTGTTCCTAGAGCTTTTTGAGTCACATATGGTATATTAATTTCATTAATAAAAAATGGTAGCACGTGGCATAAATGTGTTAAGAGCCTCCTGGAGGGACGACTGGAACATAGGAGATGACTCACCAGTGAGCTCAGCTGAACGTACTGGCAGGTGGTGGCACCCACTTGGGGACAGTGAGTCACACATGTTCCTTGGTAGGACACGTCTCTTCCTGGTGCTCTTCCCCTGTGCTCTGCTTCCTGGCTCCCATGAAGCCAACAGCTTTGCTCCATTCATCCTTCTACTGAGATTTTTCTGACTTAACCATGGATTGAAACCTCTGAATCCGAGAGCCATAGAGACCCTTTTCTCCCTTAACTTGTGGATGTAGCATATTTTGTCCTCATGATAAGAAACATGAAAATACCAAACCTCATGTCAGACTACTTCTCTTTTGCAACATGATCATGAAGCATCCCAGTGCAGAAACCCTTTCTACCAGCCTTGTGGAGATCTGGTGGACTCCACGTTTGTCATCCCAAGGAAAGGTTACTGGAATTCCAGTGTGCAGTTCCAGTCTACCACCTGCAGTATAATCCACAGCGAGAGTAAAGAGATAAATATGTCTCTGTAGCTGTGGGGAGTCAAGGGGGTCCTAGGTCCAGTCAGAACACTGGCTTACCAGAGCAGAGCCCTCAACCCAGGGCTGAAACAGGGTTTTCATGAAGAGTGGAGTGGCTCAGGACGAGTGACTGAGAATGGCGGAGAGTAAGTGCACGCTGTGAGCTGGGTGAGGAAGGAGGAGCGACAGCACCTCTGCAATTTGTGGAGAGGGAAATGAGCAGAGAGAGCGATCTGCATATCACAATGTGAGGAGGTATCTTATGTTCTGGGGACTGTGCTTCGTCTTTGATGTCTGCCCGTCATGCCCTGAGATGTCACAGATTCTTTGTCAGCCTCAGTCTCAGCTGACAGTGCATCAGTTGGCCTATCTCACTGATGCTAGTTTAGAGCTTGTAGGCAGGGCACCACTGACTACCTGTCACATGGCTTTAAAGGCTACATACACATCAGCACCTGGCTAGACCCATGTGCATTGCTTAAAGCCAATTGAGGGGGTAATGGCCTAGCCAGCTCTGTGAATATCAATACATGGAAGAAGTTGTTGTTGTCATCTCTTCCTCCTCATCCTCCTTTCCCCTCCTTGTTTTTTGGTACTAGAAATCAAACTCAGGACCTTGGACTTGCCAGGCAAGTGCTTGTACCACTGAGCTATCTTCCCAGCCCCTACTATATTTCCTTAAACCATTGATGTTTTAGGATACTGAGTTTCTCTTAGACATAAATTGTCAGGTACGTTTTAAAATTCATCATTGTAATCTCATTTAATTAGTATATTTATGC